AGATAATAGGTGATAAAAGCTCCATATGAAGATCCCGATAGCAAGTACAGAAATGAAGTTGTATTTACCTAATTTTCAGTACATATGAAGCATACTGTGATTTTCCCCCATAACTTTTTTTAAAGACTGTATACACACCCACTTATTTTTACATTTTTCAGGGTCCCCCCCCCCAAGCTGCCCTCAAACCCCAAGATAATTCTCTCAGGTTCACATGAAATTCACTAGAAAACCATTTTTTGTAATGTACAGAGAAAGTGTGCTTGGAGCAGACTTCTAACAGTCTTACTGGTGAAAATTCTTTTGCTTTGAAAGCAAGACTTCTAACAGCAAGAAACACTCAGGGGTTGCACCTTAACTGTGAAAATTCTATCCCTATGTGGCTCATCAAAAGCCCTGGCTTATTTAGTTTTCAAAAGCATTTAAATATTTGGTCAAGTAGTGCAGGATGACACATGAGTTCATGGACAACTTTGTCCTTTAATAAATTTTTAAATAACATTTGACAGATGTGAAAAGAACTCTCCAACACTATTCCTAATTAAGCTGTTACCATGGCTCACTCAAGGAGAGGAGAAATGGGAGGCACCTCTAATTAAAGAAGGCAGAAGCAACAAATTGCTTAAGAAAATGAGGAAAACTAACCCAGGAAAATTAAAGCTGGCACAGGCAAAAGTCTACAAGATGGAAAATAACTTGGTCATCCCTCATTCCACCAATGACATGTAATGGATGTTTTGCTTATATTGCATAGTAATTGGAAGTTAATTTAAGAACACTTTTATAAATATTTAGCTATAAAAAAAGATGATATTTTATATTTTTAGGTCATTGCCCTCTGTAAACTATTGGTGGGAGTTAGACTAGAAAGTGAGATGAAATAAATGTAGTAAAATTCTGGCCCACTTATTCAAAAGAAATCTATTCTGCAGTAAAATGCAATACATATTATATTCTCACAAGTTCTAGAGCAAAGAGAGTGCTGTCTTCCCAAACATCTTCAGATACAGAATCAACGATGAGCAGAAGATCTTCAGCAAGCAATTCCAGGACTTGCATGGTCACTCTCCTGCTGCCTGAGAATTTATACAAGAATGTTAGAGCAACAAAGCCCCCCAATATCAAGATAATCATGCAATTTTTTTTGTTTAAACTGTTACATATTAAGATTGATAATGCAGCCTTATAAGAAGAAGATGTGCTGGAAAGATGAAGTTTTCAAATCTTATTGGGTTATATTATAGATTAACCAGTTTATTATACCATAAACTAGGGTACAGAACATGTGGCTCTTCCAGATGTTGCTGGATTTTTTCAAATACCCAACTGTAGTTGAAAAAAAAATGTAGATTGTTGTACATGGGAAAAAAAATAAAACATCCCCTGAAAATAAGCCCTAATGTGTTTTTTGGAGAAAAAAATTAATATAAGACCCTGTCTTATTTTTGGGGAAACATGGTAGGACCAGGGGCAGGAGTGGGTGGAATACCTTGTTTGTTTCTCATGGCCCTGTCTTATTTTTCGGGAAACATGGTAGGACGAGGGGCAGGACTGGGTGGAATACCTTGTTTGTTTCTCATGAGTGGGTCACTGGTAAATATATTATGAAAGTGCAAGCCAGGGGTGCTTGCATCTCATTTAAACCAGTACTTAAAAAGAGAGCTATGCACTTCCTACTGAGCCTTCCCTGGATTACCCCGTCTCAGAGGCCCTACCTATCCAAACCTACAGGAATTACCACATTTTTCCATGTATAAGATGCCCCCGTGTATAAGACACCCTCACCCCACTTTTCTAACCCAAAATTAAGAAATCTAAGTGGGGCTTAGCAAGTGAAGGAGGAAAGGGATCAAAGCGCTGTAGGATCACTTTGATCCCTGCTTTCTCCCTTCATGCTAAGCCCCACAGGGCCTAGCAAAAGGAGGGGGAAAGGGATCAAAGCAATCCAGCAACTGCACAATCATTTTGATGCATTTCCCCCTTATACAGCCACGGGATTGCTTTGATTCTTTCCGCCCTCCTTTTGTTAAGCAACATGGGACTTAGCAAGCAGAGGGGAAAGCAGGGATCAAAGCGATTCTGCAGCGCTTTGATCCCTGCTTTCCCCTTCACTTGTTTTTGTACTCTCCTCAGCTTATATCTGTGTATAAGACGACCCTCAATTTTTAACCTAAAAATTTTAGACAACAGTATAGTCTTATACATGGAAAAATATGGCAGGTCTTTGGATTAGTGTCTTGGATTAGGCAGATATAATTAGTTTCTCTTTTAATCATATTTTGATTTGCAGGCTTTGCCTCCATAAAAAAGAGAACTTGAAGGACTGGTGGGAGAGTGAAATCATTTTAGTGAGAGTGAAATCATAGTCTGGCAGGAAAATTTCTATATGTAGCATTTTTTTTCATTTTGGCAAATGTTATCATTTTCTTCATAAAATCTTGCTGCTCTACTTTTACTTTAAAATGTTTTATTCTCAATAAACTAACAAAAACATTCATAATTTCTCCCTGTTCCTTGTGCTACATTTAAATATATCGTCAAATTAATTGCACCCATAAACAAGACTCAAGATATTTCTGGTTATATTTTCCTACCCACTAGAAAGGAAGAACCACCCCCTTCAGTAAACAATTAAGTTAAAGAGAAAGGCATGAACTATGAGGTGAAAAGGACTTGAAGTAGCATAAAGTATAGTAATAGCTACTGTACTGCCGTAATTGTTGGATAGCAATGAAGTCACCTCCGCACTGACAGGCCAATCAATGCAGTATGATTAAAAATCTTTTGTCCCTAGTGGTGTTCACCCCAGATTTAACAAAAGAATCTTCTATTATTGCTGATAAAAGTTAGATGGCAAGATATCAGCTAGAGTGTAAGACCAAGATCAGGGAGAGCTGGATTCAAATCCCCTCTTAGTCCTGAAGCTCACTCCATGACTTTGGGCTAGCTCTGTCACTTAGTGTGCCTTAGTTTCCAAGGTTACTGGAAGGACAAAATGGAGAAGCGAAAAAAAATCCAATCAAGCAACCACAGAATGCATAGTAATTTCACCGTATGCGCTTCCTGTGTAAGTGTCTATACAAAATCCTTATTAGACAATAAAAATTCCTCAGCTCTAACAGCCTGAACATCAGGAAACCAATCACACAGTTTGCTGAACAATCTATCTGCCAACCATGGTTTGACTTGGCATGCAAAAGGGAATGCTCATGCAGTTGCTCTTGCTTGATAACACAGTGCAACAAGATACGACCCCGCCCATAAAACTCATGTATTTCTAATATAAGAAAGCCAAAATAAAGAAATTCAGAACTACTGCACACAAATTACCTGTTCTTAGAAGAGGCACAGCATATTCCAAAACAGCTACACAGAACTGAGGCAGACTAAGCTGCTGGAACTGTAAATCCAAAGTATCTTCATTTTCCAGTTCTGGTAAGTCAATATGACCCATATTCATAGGCGATGGGACTGATATTCTGGAATTTGCATTAGCATGAGAACTGCTTCCACTGCAAAAAACAAATCATGGGATTAAAACCTATGATAGTCCTATTGTTTGCAAGATACATTAAGCAGGCTTGGAAAATTATTTAATTCAAGGTCACAGTATCTGAACCTGCTGAAGTTCCATCCAGCTTCTTATTTTACTTTGAAAAACATTTCTCAGCCACTTACACCTTGGCCCTCAAAAGAGATTCACGTGCAAGGAAGACCAATAACACCCCAGCTTTGGAATTTAAGGCAGAGATTGTGAAGGCAGAGGAGATGAAAAGGCAGATAGAGTTCAAACTCCTATGTCATAATTAACCAGGCACATAGGCAAGGCAGAGTAACGATATTCATCTTAAAACCATAAGGAACAGCATTTGTTTCACCTCTTTTATGGAAAATTAGCGAGAGGTTGCAGGAGATACATATATCTGGATTATAGATATCCTCCCATACCTAATGTATTAAAATATATAATTAGGTATATATCAATTATATACATATACAATTAAGTCACCTGCTTATTATACAAAAGCCACCTGCTTGCTTTCTCACCTGGATGTTGCTGCATCCCAATCTTGACCATCACCTCTAGGACGCTGGCCAGTGCGTCCTATTACGGATGGTCGAGGGCTACTACTGCCAGGGGATGGATTCTGGGAATGAGAATGTCTTCTAGCATCTTGACAATATGACACTGAGGAATTCTGGGAAACAGTACCTTTAATAACATTAATTACATATAAGACTCCTCTATGCCACAAGCACATGATTAATATGAACAATACAACCTAAAAGCTCCATTCATTCTATGTAGAAAACAATCCAATATATAACATGAACAAACCAATATAAACCACAAACCATTTGTTTAGAATGCACTTCAAAATGTAGATTTGTTGTTGTTGACATTATAATGTAATGTGATGTAAAATAACTCCTACTTAGTGCTGCTTGATTTCCTTTAACAAATAATTTAAAAATGCAACCAAAGGGTTCCAGGAAATATATCATACATGGATGGAGAACTGATTTGGGATGGAGAGGCTCCTATGGGCCAGATTAATAAATTCACACTGCTGATAGCTCTGTGAATCCACAAAGCAAAGATAATCAGAGGGCAAAATATAATTAGCAGGGGGCCTCTCCCACAACAACTTGAATAAAAGATAATTCTTCATCAATTTTACATTGAGCTTTGGCTAAGTATTGTGAAGACATATCTCTTATACTGTACATTCAAGATAATTATTAATTTGACCCTCTATGGATGATCCTAACACTGACAATGCATGCCAATCATGGCCTGTCTTCAATGGCCTGTACTATAGAGCAGTGGTCTCCAACCTTTTTGGGACCGTGGACCGGTTGGGGGGGCGGGCTCAATGCATGGGGGGGAACCCCCACGTTTGCAGGTGGGCTGGTTGCGCTTGCGGAGGGGTGTGTTGCACTTGCGCACATGCACACGAGTGCGACATGCCCCTCCGCAAGCACGACACGCCCACTGTGCGTGCGTGGCGGAGATCCATCTCTGTGCCCAGTTCCAGGAAGCCCGCGGACCAGGCATTGAGGACCCCTGCTGTAGAGGTTGGAGTACGACAGTTGTACCTGCCATGAAAAGAAAACTCTTTTCAGCCATTTGTCTCCCAACACCTTCTCTGTTGTATTTCCATGTCACTACATCCTAGCCTGACATAATAAACTACACTGATAAAAGCATATCATACACTGTGTTTGTATAGAGCCTGCTGTAGCTGCTATCACATTTTTTTTCTATCATGATGCTATTCTGGTTGTTGTTATGTGCCTTCAAACCACAACTGACTTCTAGCAATACTAATAGGGTTTTCAAGGTAAGTGACGTATTTAAGGTGTGGTTTTACCAGTTCCATCACCCCAGATAAGTTTCCATGTCAGAGCTGGTAAACTGAACCCAAGTCTACTGAGTTCTAGTCTCTCTATCCACTACAGCACACTGGCTAACCCACTATTTTGGTACCTGCCAGGATAGTGAGTTAGCCAGTGAGCCTCATGGCGCAGTTGTTAAATATCTGTACTGCAGCTAAAACTGTGCTCACAACACGGGATTCAATCCCAGGTAGTTGGCTCAAGGTTAACTCAGCCTTCTATCCTTCCGAGGTCGGTAAAATGAGTACCCAGCTCGCTGGGGGGGGGGATGTGTAGCCTGCATAATTAACTTGTAAACCTCCCAGGAAGTGCTTGAAGCACTATGGGGCGGTATATAAGCAGCACCCTTTGCTTTGCTTTTTTTTATATTGCTATTTTGGTGCCTATTTTTGTTGCCATTTGCTCTCCAGTTTAAATTTCCTGCTTATCAGCAGCAGGTACACTGAGCCAAAATCCTAAGCACTTATGTTAGTCTTTCCCTTTATGTGCCCTCTGTGTGTACACATCATTTAGCCTGGATACATCTATCATAAATAGGAAAACAATATGTATCCCACTCTGATTTGGCTATATACAAACCTGTTTCACTTGAAACAAAACTTGGATCTCTGTGGAAGTTAAGTCTGTTCTGTAACAAGACACACAACTGCTGCAGGCATGAGATGGCTTGCAAGGCCAAATTGTATTGTCCATCTTTCCCAAGAGCCAAGGTTGTTAGAGACAGAAGACTCTGGGGGGAAACAAAACTACATATTATTGGCAAAATACAGTTATCTCTATCTGTTTCTTTATTTAAAACATTTTATCCCACCTTTCTTCTTAAAAATACCCCAAGGTGGCTATGCTTTGTTAGGTATCATTAAAGTAATTTAATGGAAGGTGGGCAAAGTGCAGCTCTTCAGATGATACATACTGCTATTCCACCCATTCCTCCCATTCCTCACTAGGCTGGCTAAGGTGGGTGGGAAGATGCAGTCCAACAACACCTGGATTTGTCCTCGCATGACTTAAGAGATAAGTGCAAGCATTCTTGTTGTATGTTACACAAAGACTACACAGGCACAAATATGACTCTCAGTTTTTTCTCAGTTCCAGTTTTATTGACTTGTCATGGTACCAACAACTAGGCAAAATCCTGTTGGTCCAGTTAAGCCAGTTTATCATGATCAGGATGACATGGATGATCCTAACACTGACAATGCATGCCAATCATGGCCTGCCTTCAATGGCCTGTACTATAGAGCAGTGGTCTCCAACCTTTTTGGGACCGTGGACCGGTTGGGGGGGCGGGCTCAATGCATGGGGGGGAACCCCCACGTTTGCAGGTGGGCTGGTTGCGCTTGCGGAGGGGTGTGTTGCACTTGCGCACATGCACACGAGTGCGACATGCCCCTCCGCAAGCACGACACGCCCACTGTGCGTGCGTGGCGGAGATCCATCTCTGTGCCCAGTTCCAGGAAGCCCGCGGACCAGGCATTGAGGACCCCTGCTGTAGAGGTTGGAGTACGACAGTTGTACCTGCCATGAAAAGAAAACTCTTTTCAGCCATTTGTCTCCCAACACCTTCTCTGTTGTATTTCCATGTCACTACATCCTAGCCTGACATAATAAACTGTGTTTGTATGGAGCCTGCTGTAGCTGCTATCACTTTTTTTTCCTATCATGATGCTATTCTGGTTGTTGTTATGTGCCTTCAAACCACAACTGACTTCTAGCAATACTAATAGGGTTTTCAAGGTAAGTGACGTATTTAAGGTGTGGTTTTACCAGTTCCATCACCCCAGTAAGTTTCCATGTCAGAGCTGGTAAACTGAACCCAAGTCTACTGAGTTCTAGTCTCTCTATCCACTACAGCACACTGGCTAACCCACTATTTTGGTACCTGCCAGGATAGTGAGTTAGCCAGTGAGCCTCATGGCGCAGTTGTTAAATATCTGTACTGCAGCTAAAACTGTGCTCACAACACGGGATTCAATCCCAGGTAGTTGGCTCAAGGTTAACTCAGCCTTCTATCCTTCCGAGGTCGGTAAAATGAGTACCCAGCTCGCTGGGGGGGGGGATGTGTAGCCTGCATAATTAACTTGTAAACCTCCCAGGAAGTGCTTGAAGCACTATGGGGCGGTATATAAGCAGTACCCTTTGCTTTGCTTTTTTTGATATTGCTATTTTGGTGCCTATTTTTGCTGCCATTTGCACTCCAGTTTAAATTTCCTGCTTATCAGCAGCAGGTACACTGAGCCAAAATCCTAAGCACTTATGTTAGTCTTTCCCTTTATGTGCCCTCTGTGTGCACACATCATTTAGCCTGGATACATCTATCATAAATAGGAAAACAATATGTATCCCACTCTGATTTGGCTATATACAAACCTGTTTCACTTGAAACAAAACTTGGATCTCTGTGGAAGTTAAGTCTGTTCTGTAACAAGACACACAACTGCTGCAGGCATGAGATGGCTTGCAAGGCCAAATTGTATTGTCCATCTTTCCCAAGAGCCAAGGTTGTTAGAGACAGAAGACTCTGGGGGAAAACAAAAGTACATATTATTGGCAAAATACAGTTATCTCTATCTGTTTCTTTATTTAAAACATTTTATCCCACCTTTCTTCTTAAAAATACCGCAAGGTGGCTATGCTTTGTTAGGTATCATTAAAGTAATTTAATGGAAGGTGGGCAAAGTGCAGCTCTTCAGATTTGCTGGACTGCTATTCCACCCATTCCTCCCATTCCTCACTAGGCTGGCTAAGGTGGGTGGGAAGATGCAGTCCAACAACACCTGGATTTGTCCTCACATGACTTAAGAGATAAGTGCAAACATTCTTGTTGTATGTTACACAAAGACTACACAGGCACAAATATGACTCTCAGTTTTTTCTCAGTTCCAGTTTTATTGACTTGTCATGGTACCAACAACTAGGCAAAATCCTGTTGGTCCAGTTAAGCCAGTTTATCATGATCAGGATGACAGAAATAATTAATTTAAATTAATTGAAAGCTTCCCATCTCCCATATAAACAGTTCCAGCTTCTGAGGCTCCTTAGGACTCTTGTTTGCCCAGGGGAAGCCTCCGGGAGCCTCAGGACAGTAGCTGGACCTTTTGTTAGTCAAAAATAACTACCAGATCACTCCTGCCACAATTGAGACCTAATGGTGATTTTTGACTATTAAAAGGACAGGAACCTTTCAACGGCAAGTGTTTCACATTGGATCCAAAAGCGAACTGTGAAAGCATCAGAACCTATGGGTCAAAATCTAACAGACAAAAACTGCATGCACGAGGGCAGTCAAACAGCAGTTTCTTTTCTGCTGGAGGGCTGCCTTTCATATGACTGGTCTCACACCTACTTTTGTAGCCAATGAAGAACATGTAGGAGA